AAACAATATTGACTTTTGTTTCCGTTGAAAAATGAATTTGTTGGAGATTAGCAACCAAATCAGAGAAAGTTAAACCTTGTAACTAGAAAAGGAATTATCCGCTTAATAATAATTTAGGGGTTTCAAGTAATTATTATTGGTATTACAACAGATAATTTGTTTGTCAAATATTTTCTTTATCTAGGGCTGATATTTAGAAAGCAACTTAATTGTGAACACACACCTGGCTAATTTTCTATTACCCAGAAATGATAACGTAGATTTCATTGTGTTTTTAGTTTCTCTTTTTGAAAAGTCACTTCTAAAAAGCACTTGTAGCATAAAGCACAAATTCATGTGCTTTATTTATTAACTTTATTTCAAAACAGTAAAGTTGTATTGATAAACTATTTCCTAATCGACAGAATGTCCCCGGATTGTTTACAAGAAGAAAAAAAATCATTTTTAATTTTGCGCAAAACTACAAAGGAAAAACATTTTTTGCTTGACCTGAAAGAAGTAAATCTGGCGTTAAAACTTTATTATTCTTATTCAGTAAAAAGAAAACTTCATTTTTGGACCAACATTATTAATTAATTCATCAATTGAATAATGATGATTCTTGTTAAAAATAACTTTGCTTTTTATCTTAAAGCTGTTTCTTCGAGTTCTTTTGTTTTTTAGAAACATTTTTGTTATTTAGCTTGCGTCAAGGCCATCTGAATCAAAAAGCTATGCTTATAAGGCCGTTTCAATTTTCGATTTTTCCATATAAACTTTGTTTCTGTGACATTTCGGGCGTCAGTACCTTATTGCGCTCCATCTACCGATTTCCATCGCAGTCGATCGAGAATTTTTAGACTTTTTTATTTTTAGGTTAAGTGCTTAAAACATCAATTAAAACATGAATGCTATAAAATATCCAAGATCCGAGCTTATTTTAGGTACATTCTGGACTAGCAAAATACTAATAAATTAGAATTACAATAAAACATGAAATCATAACACGAGGTAGGTAGGTAACTTCAATATTTTTCTGCAAAGTGGTTTGTTTGTTTGTTGAGTAATCCGTAATTTTTGTAGTGTCTTTAAAATTACAAAAACAAAGTAAAAGGTTGTCCTTATCATTGTCTGCATAAATTTGCTTACCGCAAAACGTTTCAAAAGTTTCGCACCATTTTTGCCTTTGTTGCATATTGCTCAGAATTTCAAATAATCGAACATATTTTGCCCCACAAATGAAACACGGTTTTTACCATTTTATACCATTATTTTGTAAAATTGAAGGGCATTGTTTTAAATTGCCGCCAATGTTTATTCGTTAATCGGCCACCGAGGGCGCACAATAAGGTTCTGAATTTTTTGTTTTTATGGCCACTCTGCAGAAACAGTTATCATGGAGAATGAAACGGCCTTATATGCGCAGCTTTTTGATTCAGATGGCCTTGGCTTGCGTAAACTCAGTTGTCAAAATGACATCTGTGTCAAAAAAATAAAACCGCCATTACGTTTTCACTTTTCGATGAAATAAACATCTCAAATTTCAAACAGAACTGCTGAAAATCCAGGTACAGGTACAATCTGCTTCAGAAGTAATGACACAAAACTCGGCTCTCGAGTAGGCACGTTCGACCGTTTCAGATGGGGTGGAGCCGATGGTCGGCAGTTGTCGGTTTTCCGGCATTGGGATGGGTCGATGGAGAGTTGACGAAAATTGATAAATCGTTTGCTCAAATTATTAAGAATTTTGACTATGAGTAATCACTTATCGCATTTGACTTATTTTGAAAGGAATAAAATAATATTTGAAACGTTTCTTTAAAATTAAAAATTGATCTGATTCATGGTTTTGATGTCCAAAGTCACCATTTCACAAAATAATTAATTTATTGTTTTATTTACCAATACATTTATTAATTAATGTAGAAGTTAAGGGTTGCTTACTATTTATCAACAGTAAAGGACTTCATGTGATTTTGGTGAAATTTTTCACAGAATTCGAGTTGTGGCTTCATTTTCAATCAAATAAATTTTTTACAGCAATTCCTAATATTCTAAGTCAAGGAGTGCGGTTTAAATTTATAGGGTGGCTCTAATTATGCCGCTGAGTTGGGTTTATCCCAGGCAAAAATTTGTCCTTTATTGGCCTGAAACCTTTTTGCCTTGTGTATTAGAATCCCGATAATAAACATAAAATGTTTTAGGCAAATAACACCCTCAACGACAAATTTTTGCCTGGCATATATTGAAATCACTGTTAATTTTCAATTCTTTACCTAAATCCGCCTTTATGTAAAGAATTAACAAGTTTTTACTTATTTCAAAAGCTATCGATTAAAATCAAAAAATGGGAATCTTCAGCTTTACTACTTTATCATTTATCATTCCGTTTTTTGAAGAAGTGTAGTAATTTACAAAAATTTTTTCCTTTCATTAGGCGACAAAGGATTAAGACAGATACTCGTATCTTACAACTCGGTCTGGTAACTATGGTTTGGGGCGGTCATTATCGTATCGTATAAGACATTGTAAATTTCGAACTGAACCAATTCATACTTCTGACCACAGAATGGCAAAATTTTGCTGAATGGAAACGGATGGCCTGCGGGCACATTGTCTATCCCTTACCTGATTCATGGTTTTGATGTCCAAAGTCACCATTTCACAAAATATTAATTTATTAATTTCACGTTTGACAATGCAAAGCGGACACAATTGAACCCGTTGTCAACGTTTTCAGAGAAAAAGTTTGAGATGAGTCAGAGGGTCTGTGTATCACCACCAATCACCAGTGTTAATCCTAAGCACCCTAAGGCGGTACACATTTGTCCAATAGCGCCAACTTTTATATAAATATGACATTAGGGCTGATTTACTGAAATTTAATTCAGTCTTTTAAACTAATTCGAATTAAGTTGCCATTTACGTTAATGTCACATCAGTCACAAATTAAAATGAACAGATTAATAAGTTGAGGTGGCCTTGTTCACTGTTTTGTTTCTTTCTATTATTCGAAAGTTTTATTAGATAGCAAACGGTCACAAGTAAAGGATTTCATATGAATTTGGTCAAATTTTTCTTAGAAAAGGTTGACAATGTGCCCGCAGGATATCCGTTTCCATTCAGTCAAAATTTGCCATTCAGTGGTCAAAGGTATGATGACTTGGTTAAATTCGAAATTTACGATATCTTATACGATACGATAATAACCGCCCCAAATTTAATTTGTAATTAATATCACATTTGACAATAATGCAAAGTAAAAAACAATGTAATTCGGATTACGCTATTTCTGAATTAAAACACGGATAAAACACTGCGGACATGGCTGAACTCGATTTCTGTGAAAATGTCACCAAAATCACATGAAATCCTGTACTGTTGATAAATAGTAAACAGCTCTTAACTTCTACATTAATTAATAAATTTATTAGTAAATAAAACAATAAATTAATTATTATGTGAAAAGGTGACTTTGGACATCAAAACCATGAATCAGATTAATTTTTAATTTTAAAGAAACGTTTCAAATATTATTTTATTCCTTTCAAAATAGGTCAAATGCGATAAGTGATTACTCATAGTCAAAATTCTTAATAATTTGAGCAAACGATTTATCAATTTTCGTCAACTCTCCATCGACCCATCCCAATGCCGGAAAACCGACAACTGCCGACCATCAGCTCCACCCCATCTGAAACGGTCGAACACTTGTTTCCAAGTAACATAGAGAAGATGAAGGTACGTCTAGCCGTGCAAATATTTTCAACACCAGTTACTGCAACCTTGCGGTATCTTGCAAATCAGGATCAAACTGAATTATTGAACTTCAAACAGTCTGAAGCTACAGTAAAGTATTTGGAAACAATGTATAAATTTTTTAAAATCCACGATGTGAGTAATAGAACTCAACACGTTCGCCAACATGACTGTGATGTTGCACCATTTACGGATACTTCGGATGAACGACTTTTGTGGCTTGACCAAGAATTTCCGTCGTATATTAGGGATATTCAAACTAGATCAGAAGCAATGGGAATGCGAGGGCTGACAAAAGAAACTGCAGAAGCATTTCTGTTTACTGCCAAAAGTACCGGCCTTTGCGTAAAATATTTGATAAAAAAACTTCTTCTATGTCTTAACGAGAAGATTGAGTTCTGATGTCATAGAGGCCTTATTTTCTAATGTTAGACTAAGAAGTGGGTCTAATGATCTCACAGATTGTAGAGCTGCTGAACATGCACTTCGTCAAATTTTGAAAACCGGCATAATTAAAAATGTTAATTCTTGTAACACTGCTTCCGAATACAAATATGTGAGCTGCAAAATGTGTGAAGCAAAATTCAATAGAAACTACAGTGGCTGTTACTCTAAAAGATTCCACCTTAAATAAATTGGAAAAATGCGTTAACTATGCCTGTCTCTGTTTTACACACAACTTTTAAGATTAGCGAGACTTCTTTGTTGCACACTGACGGGAACCAATGGGATTCATTCTAATCAGGGGTAGCCGACTAGTATAGGCCAAGACCGTTTTCGATAAATTTTAGTTATGGTCCGGCCGTCAGAGGTCGCTATAAGCTGTCTCATAATAAAGTTTATTTATTTATCGCAAATGTTATTTTTATTTTAAATTTTTATTCAAAGGTAAACAATAGGTATAGACACACAATATAAACAACAAATTTAGGTTCCAGCTTTTTTTGTTAGATTTATAATAAAAGAAAGAAATCTACTTTATCAGTGTGAAGTGTGCGGAATTAAAATTTGAAACAAGTCGGTCATGATTTCAAAATTTGAACTGTCAATCACAGAAAAAGCATAAAATTAAGTTTTATTTGTAAAATAAATTCCTGGGATTTGAGGTAAAATTGATTTTTGTACTAAACTACGATAATAATTGCTAATTGTTTAGAATGAGTCTCCATAAACGAATTTGTTCTGTGGTGGGCTGCCCATTTAAATCTGGGCCTCTCTTTAGGTTTCCGTGTCCGGAAAAGGAGCCAGAGAGGTTCAGATTGTGGGTGCAAGCTACCGGACAAAAATTTGTTATAAGTCCGGGTGAAATTTACAAAAGAGCCCGCATGTGCAGCCACCACTTTTTGCCCGATCAAATTAAGAGCTCCGGTTTGTGCAAAAGGCTGTTCCCCAACTCATTGCCTTCTCTTAATATTTGTCAAGGTAAGTTCAGTTAAATAATAACATCATTTTCTTATTTTTTTTTTTATTAAAGAAAGATACACGTACGAATCTAGTAGTGAGGAGTTGCGGGAACATGCGTCGTCGGTTTCGGTAGCAAAAGTGGGTAAGATTTTGAAACTTGGGTTTTAATTCTTAATTTTCTCAACCCATAACATTCTTCAGATCAGATGAAAATTGACCTTTCACCAGAAGTTACTAATACCACCGTTGACCTGTCTTTTTCCTCTCCAGAAAAAGAAAACGTGGAATTATCGACAATGTGGTTTTATAGTCCACGAAAAAGAGTAACTCCAGTCGAAGGTATACATAAATACATACAGAGTATTAAATACATATAGAGTGTGGAACCAAGCGGTATTTTTTAAAGCATCAACTTTTGTTTAAAAAAACTGATAAAATAATTATAAAGTAAAAATTCGAAAAATTTTATTCTAAATAAAACGTCACATTTTTCTAGTACTTTGTCATTCATCAATTAGTTTTTTCAAAAAATAAATATTTTATCAAAAAACGTTTTTTTCCATACTTTTTATTTACCTGGTATAAGCAAATATATTTACACAGATCCTTGTCTCTGAAAATATGGTAATAAAATCACAATTTTGATGAAATGAAATGATTGTTACTTTGCGGAACAATTAAAAGTTCCATCAGTAATTTAGGGTATATAATATGTAACTGAAGGTAGTTTGTCACTTTTCAGTTTAAGAAATTACCTAGTTTATTAACTCAAAATATGTAGAATTAATTGTTATTAATAAAAAAAAAAAAAATGTCAACGTCAGTGTCAACATCTTTTGATGACTCTTTTGATGAAAATAGTCATTTTAAATGTAAATATCCTCAAGATACACGTTTTTCTTCTCGTACAAGACACTGGAAATTTAGTGATGAAGATCTTGCTGCCGCTGGCTCTTCGAAAGCGTCATCTGATCATTTACAACAAGAATTTGAAAATATGAAGATTTGTCATCCTATAAACTCTTGTAAAAATTTAATTTTTGGCTGTGAAGACTGTAATAAAACCTTTAAGAACGTAAGAGGACTGAAAATTCATCGATCTAAAATTCATCTTAATTCGTATTTTGTTTCCAAAACGGAAGAATCATCGTCTAATGAAGTTTTAGATCATTCATTGTCATTGATCAACTATTCAGAATCCGAAGTCAAACATTCCAGTGATTTTTACCATAATGAAGAACACACCAAAAGAGTGAAATGCATCTTGTGTCCTGGAAAATCTTTTAAAGATGTTAAGAGGTTGAATATACACTCAGATAAGTTTCATGCCACTTCTCACTTACCAACTYCCTCATCTGCTTCAACCAGTTCCATAACAAAACTGCTTATTAAACTGAAATATCATCTAGCGACTCTTAGAAGAATTCCAAAAGCCTCCAGACATTTAGCCGCAGATAAATTAAGCTCCATCATTAATAATTGCCTTTCGACCAGAAATTTTACTTCTTTCGAGGATCTTCTACTATTCTCTTATAAAGCTTTTAATATTATCGATAAATCTGACAAATCTTTAAATAATCATATCAAAGAAAATCTCTCCAACTTTGAAGATATTACTATACCTGCATCTTCTTTTAMACGCTCAACTTTATCATTGACTAAGAAAATTGAAGCTAAAGTAGCGGATTTCGACATAAGAGGAGCTGTTAAATTGTTATCATCGGATAACTCACTAGCTTCTTTTGATGAAGATGTGGCTGAAGAACTTAAGAAAAAACATCCTTCTCCATCTCGTGAACTCTTTTTCCCAGACGCTTTCCAACAAGTTGACAAGTCTTTAATAGTAAATGAACAAAATGTCCGAGAAGCCATCAATTCTTTTCCTGCCGGTTCTTCGCCTGGTTGAGATGGCATGAGACCACAATACTTGAAAGACATTATATCCTTATCAGCAGGAGAAGCTGGTAATCGCGCCCTTAAAGCTATAACTAAATTTTGCAATTTTTTATTATCTGGCCAACTACCTCCCGACTTTTGTCATTTATTTTATGGTGCTTCTTTATGTGCTCTTCATAAGAAGGATGGAGGCATAAGACCGATTGGAAATTGTTTTCGGAGATTGATGTCCAAACTTGCTTGTTTTCAAAGTCGTAATTTAGTCAACTCCTTTTTATCACCTCATCAACTTGGTGTTGCAACTAAATTAGGTTGCGAAGCTGCAATTCATGCCGCTCGTACTTTTGTAACTGATGTCCAAAATCATGGCAAAGTTTTTCTTAAATTAGATTTCAAAAATGCCTTTAACTCAGTCGAACGTGATTGTATACTTAAAGCAGTGCAACAATATACCCCGCTTCTGTTCCCATATCTTTATCAATGTTATAGAAATCCTTCATCTTTATTTTTCGCTAATCATTTTATCTCTTCTTCCGTTGGAGCTCAACAAGGTGATCCTTGCGGTCCCATGATTTTTAGTCTTGCAATTCAACCAATGATTTTATCTTTAAAATCTCAACTTAATATGTGGTATCTGGATGATGGGTCTTTAGCTGATTATCCTGATACAGTTTTGTCTGACCTTTTAAAAATTATMACTTTATCTAAAGATATTGGTCTGCAATTAAACTTTAACAAGTGTGAGCTCTTCTTCTGCTCCGCAGTCCCAGATTTTAAAATCTTAGATAAATTTCAAATCTTAGCTCCTGGCATTAAACTATGCTATCGCGAGAATTTTTCCCTTCTAGGTGCACCAATTTTCGACCAAGRCTTTAATTCTTTTGTGGGAAAAACATTTTCCATGATTGAAAATCTATTACAAAAAGCTGAACTACTTAGCAGTCACGTTGCCTATACTTYAATTAAGAACTGTCTTTTCATTCCAAAATTTAATTTTTTATTRAGATCSACTCCTTTTTGGAAATTTTCTGATTTTCTAAATTCCATTGATTCTTCTTTAAAGTCTTCATTAGAAATTATTCTTAATTTGCGTTTAAATGATGTTCAATGGTGTCAGGCTACCTTACCTATTAAATTTGGTGGTTTGGGAATCCGTCGAATTTCCGATATTTGCTTACCTGCATTCCTATCTTCAATTTATGGTGTTAATAAGCTTGTTTCTTTATTACTGAACTCGAGGGAATCTGAGCTTATTATTTACCATTGTAATGATGCATTGGCAGCTTGGAACTCAAAGAATGAAAACAAAACACCAAATTTTCCAGAATATCAGAAGAATTGGGATAATATTAACATCAAACGCATTATAATGAATGACTTAATCTTCACAACTCCTCGAGACTTAGCYCGATTTAAAGCTTTGCAATGCAGAGAATCTGGTTCTTGGTTACACTCAATCCCTTCTCCTAACATTGGCACCTTTTTGGATAATACTTCTTTTCAAGTTTGTATTGGTTTGAGATTGGGTTGTAATCTTTGTACACCACATACGTGCAAATGTAACGCTGAAGTCCAAGAAAACGGTATTCATGGTCTTAGTTGTCCGAAAAGCAGTGGTAGATTTTCAAGACACACGGAAATAAATTCAATAATTCACCGTACATTAACATCTATCCATATAAATTCAACTTTGGAGCCGAAGGGCCTCTCCCGTGATGATGGTAAGCGCCCTGATGGTTCGACACTTGTTCCATGGTATAAAGGACAAGCTTTGGTTTGGGATGTTATCGTTGCAGATACCCTTGCCGACAGTTATTTATCAAAAACTTGTGAAACCTCAGGTTCTGCTGCTGAAACAGCATGTCATCGAAAACATAACAAATATAAGTCAATCATTTCTTCGAATTATATTTTTAAAGGTTTAGCTTTTGAAACTTTAGGCCCTTGGTCTAAGGAAGCTTTTGAGTTCCTCAATATAATTGGTAAAAAGCTGATATCTGTTTCTGGCGAAAAAAAAGCTAAACAATACCTGTTTGAGAAGATTTCCCTTGCAATTCAACGTGGAAATGCTGCTAGCATTCGGGGCACCTTCTCAGAGTCCGCCTTATTAGCCGAAATTTTTGTTTTGTAATTTTTACTTATATATTTGTATTTAGGCTTTCGATTTTACAAAGTATTATAAATGTAATACATTTTTTGATTGTTATTATTTACTTTGATTTTTTTACATAGTGTTAGTTAATGATTTTTTTTAATTTTAGGCTACTCAAATCAACATTACATCAGGAAAACTTCGTATTTTACCTAAGATTAGATGTTCACTGCATCCTATCATGGCTAGGACATTTAGTTTTCAACAACAATCAGCAATCAATAATAATCAATATTTTTTTTAGTAATGATTTTTTATTTAAATATTAATTATTTTTTATTTTAGGTCAATATTCAGCATGGCAGGGTGGATGTACATCGGGTTCTTTTGTACAGATGAGCGTGGCTCAATTGCCTGTTACAGGTACAGTAATTCACAACATTTGAGTTTTTATAACACTACACTAATGTATAGCAATCATCAATTTCAAATTATTAATTAATATTATAATAATATCTATTATTAATTATTGTAACTAATAATAATTATCTATCACATTTTGTGTATGGGCAAGTAACATATACAGGGTATTTCACGAGTGATAATGAGGCTGACGGAATTGAAAATACAACCCACGATACATTTGCAAAGTTAACGTGGATATTTTCGATATCGCATTGTTTGAAAAACCGAATTATGAATCCACGATAGCTTTGTTTCGATAATTTTATTTGTCACAACCATGTCACAACTGACATTAGCAAAATTTCAAAATGCATTCAAACGATGAGAAAACAGATCTGATTCTTATTTATGGCGAATTTGGAAAAAATGCTTCTACCGTTGAACCTTAGTAAAGACAATGTTTCCTGTATAGAAAAGCTCCAAAAAGGCTTGAAAGTGTTTTCCAATGGTAGATAGACAATAACCTTAAAAACTGTGTTTCCTTTCTTGTCAATTTCTTTGTGTCAGTTACGCGATAACTATGTTTTATTACTTTTAAAATTCATAATCAAAATCCATGAAGCCTATGCAAATGTATTACTGGCTGCAGCTCAAATGTGGTTAGGCTCATTATCACTTGTGAAATACCCTGTATTTGTAAGTAGGTGCACCAGTTGAAAGGATGAGCCCTCGCATGAGCCTCTTAGACAGTGATCCTGTGAAGCTCATAAAACCATCAACTTCTGGGTGTACCAGTATCGGCGGCGGCGTCGGAAAGGGTATAACAAAAAATTCATGTCTATGTGAAAATAAACATATAGTATTTTTAGAATCTATACTTAATAAAATCGGGTTCGAGAACGAAGAATGTTTGACATCGCAAGACGGCTTCAACAGCGTGTGAACCGGACGAAACGCCGCCGCAACGACACCAGAACACAAATTAGAAATAATTTAAGTAGTTTAATATCAACAGCCAATATGAGACCAGTGCAGAGGAGATTTATTGAGAGTCAACTGCGAAATGTGAGGCGCAAATCGCAAGGCAGGCGTTTTACGTTTGAGGACAAAGCCGATGCCTAGTGGAAGTGTGGTCCAAAAACGTATAAACAAATGTCTAAATGGTTTGCCCTCCCATCAGTCAGTACTCTCAAGGCAACCCTAAAAGACATTCCAATCAAACCAGGTATATCAAAACCAATCTTTCAGGTCCTCAAAAAGCAAATAGGTCAAATAAACGACAAAAGTCGTTTTTGCATTCTTACCTTTGATGAGGTGGTTTTACAACCTCATTTGAGTTATTTGCTTTATGAGGACCGTGTGATTGGTTCTGAAGATGATGGTTGGAATGACGGTTTGCGAGAGACCAAATCAGTAGCGGACCATGCTTGTGTTTTTATGTTGAGAGGTATTTACAAAAAGTGGAAACAACCTGTTGCCTTTGCTTTTTGTAAATCTTCCATGAAACCCGCGAGCATTGTCCGCTTCTACAAAAATATTATACGAGAAGCTACAGCTGCTGGTCTAGTGGTAATTGCTTCTGTTTGTGATCAAGGAACCACAAATGTCAAGGTTGTAGATATGCTCCTTGCTGAGACACAAAGACAAGCTTCTTTGAAAAATGAGGAGGTCAATAAAAATATAATTATGGTAGACGGTTCTACTGTCATTCCATTATTTGATCCTCCTCATCTTTTAAAGAGTTTGGGAAACAACATGCTCAGCAAAGACGTACGCTACAGGGATCCTAACGATGGCCGGGTCAAAGTGGCAAAATGGTCAAATTTAATAGAGGCATACCGAATGGACCAGCAACGCGGAAACTATCGGTTCATGAGAAAACTTTCTGACGAACACGTCTTTCCTGAGAAAATCAGGAAAATGAAGGTTTCCTTATGTACCCAAGTTTTCAGCAAAAGCGTAGCTACTGGTATAGATATTTTTGTTGATCTCAGCGTAGGGGGATCCACTTTGCCTTCTGATGCACGCCATACTGCTCGCTTCTTTTCCATCTTAGATGACATTTTTAATAGTGTCAATGGAGGCTTTGGTAACGTTCCCGGAAGACCTCTACTTTCAATGGTAGGAGAAGAACATGAGAAATGTTGGAGATTTGGGAAAGAAATGTTTCGCAATATGGAATTCGTCACATCTAAACCTGGGGAACGAACAAGGCCCCCAGTTTTAGACGGGTGGTATTGAACTCTAGAAGGTTTTCTTTTGATTAAAGAAACTCTAAATCGTCTAGAGTGTTCATCTTTTCCAGCAAGGGCGTTTAATCAAGACCCTTTAGAAAATTTCTTTAGTCAAATTAGACAATATGGAGTTCGATATACGAATCCAAGTTGTACAGCATTTCTTTCCTTTTATAAATCTCTGCTATTTCGAAATTTCTCTTCCTATCATTCTAACAGAGCTAATTGTGAACAGGATGATAAGCCTCTCCTGGTCACAATTAGAGATTTTCTGACTCTGGCAAGTAATCAAAGTCAGGAGCCGCAGCATGGTGTGGATCAGTGGCATCCTGTCGATGATGAAACTTCAGACGCTGTCAACAGTAATGTATTGGGTTACGTGGCAGGTTTCGTCATTCATAATATTTCTCCGGAAAAATATGATTGTGAAACTTGCCTTCGTAATCTAATACATTCTGGAGAGCCAGATGAACTTCATCATCGACTAGTGGTTCTGCGAGAATATAACCATGAAAAACGGCATTTGCAGTATGTAAATATTAATGTGATTAAAGTTTTTATTAAAATTTTTAATCACATTAAAATTTTAGTACGTTCTGCCATTTTTCATGAATGTATGTCGCAGCGGATCATCAGCCACATGCAAATGTTGGGAATTGATTTTGATTTTGAGCCCTGTGAACATTCTGAAGCAATCAAAACTGAACTTTTTCAAGTATTCTTAAGAGTTTATATCTTTGACTACGTGAAAAAGTTGAGCAAGATTGCTTCAGGGAAACTGCAGCCAACTGAAAATCAAGATCAATAACAACTTGAAATGCATAGATTGTATACCCGTTTTAGAAAGTAAACTTTTAAAATGGGTATATTAATTATGTATACTAATGCATAACTATCTTCTCTGATAATTTTTTTTGTTTTTGTCTTGTTTTTGTTTGTACTATTTTAAAAAAATATGTGTTACGCACATACTATTTATATTAATGAGAAATGTTATTTTTGCAACACTAATACCTTATTTGTTTCTATAGTGTATTTAAGCTTACCTCTTATGTTGCCGTAAAAATACGCTTTCTAAAGTACGTCGTCAATAGCAACGTATCTTATGAGTCTATAAAATACGCTGATGCATATTTTTTGTCAATTTTGACATTATAATAATTATAATAATTTCTGAATTTAGTAAAATTTCTTATTTAATATTAGTGTTACAAAAAATCTTGAAGACAACACGAGTTTTATAGTTTCAAAATCTCAGCTTATTAAATTCTCGCTCCTCCGGTCGCTCAAATTTAAACTACGACCTCGATTTTTAAACTGTCTATAAAACTCTAGTTGATTTAATAGCTATTTAGTTATAATTGTAATTTTTTCATATCATTGGTCTCATATTGGGTTTTGCGGAAATATTGGGCCAATTTCACAAACCTGAGAAAAATTTAAGCATCCTCTAAAAGTATTTCTTGTATGTAATGTTAAACGAAATCATAATGAAACTGGTCCATAAAAGATTATAAGACAATTTCTTGAGGGAACTATTATTATAGAATTATTATTAATTGTACTTCAAAAATATTTAAAAAGTAATGTAACTACTCGAAACTTCGAGAGCTATTATAGTTATTAACGTCGTAATGCCGATATGTACCAAATAACAGATGAGGTTAAATTTTGTAAACTCAGGCGAAACTGAGGCTTATAATCAACCAACTCGGTTATCTGGTATCGGCTGTATGTCGTTCAAGACTTTTTGTAATCCCATTCCTCACTTAGAGAGGAGCAAAGCTTTAAATTTCGTAATTTCCGTTATTTCATAAAATAAATCGCAACATCAAAGAGAGTTACCATAATTCTTAATTACTGACGGTCGTTATAATCCTTAACGGACAGAGGCTGTCAAAAATTACTTTTCATTTGTAATTTCACTTCCGTTAAATTAAATAATAGTACGGGATTACGAAAAAAAATTAAGTTATCATGATTTTCTTCAAATATTCTTGGTAAGTCCTGTTTATAAAACAATTAATTGTAATTAAATTTTAACTTTAATTAATTTATTTTAGCATGGCAAAATAAACGACAATTTTATTTTTGTATACTAGCCCTTAATGTAAACACATTGTCATAAAATAATTTTTAACCTGCAATCTTTTTCTGAAAATAAAATTTTGTCTTAATTACATATTTATGTAAACAATATTTTGTTGTTATGAAGCGGATACGTCAGTGAAGTACGTCACGACGCCACGTGGTACGAAGTGCGCATGCTTTTCCACGCGGTGTCCGATGGATCGGCGAACTGGCAGTTGGGCGTTGGCCACGATGCGAGAGCAGTCTGTCACTCATTTACATTCAATTGTTAATTAATTATTATTAAAACTGAATAAAGTGCATATTCTGGGACACCCGTCTAGTGAATTTACCTACAGTGCAGCGGTGGGATTGTGCTTGCGTTTTCTCCGAGATTAAAATTTAGTCTGAACATTCGTAAGAACGTCTTACGTAATGGGCAAGAGACGGAGAAGTGAATCGTCGAGTGAGTCGGGATCACAGAACGAACGTCGTTCTCGTAAATCCCGTTCCCGTTCGAAATATCAGCGAGAGAGACGATGCAGCCCGCTGCTAAGTTACACGCCACGTCCAAGGCAAGACGATGGATCTATGGAAGAAAGGGTCCGATATCTCGAAAGTATGTTACGTAACTACACTCAAACAAGTCAAAGACACGAACAGGATTTTAACATATTCGGCAAAAGCAGAGTGTATTCCCGTTTTTGATCCCTCTGAAAGGAAAGTTGACACCGCTAAATGGCTTAGTAAAATTGATCAACTGGCTGCTATAAACAACTGGGATGAGCGAACGACCATTTTTAACATGCAAAGTCGCTTACGAGGGTTGGCAAAAACATGGTATGACAACTTGACGATATATGATTTGACCTGGACAGAATGGAAGGAGCGACTTACGAAGACGTTCCCGGAAAATAACGATTTTGCATATTTGTTGAGACAAATGATGGATCGAAAGAAACAGACGGACGAAAGTTGGCCGACTTATTTTTTTGATAAGGTAGGGCTTATCAGGGCATGTGGTATAGAGGGTCGTAATGCAGTTTCCTGCATTATCGACGGAATTGATGACGCAATCATACAAACGGGGGCACGAGCTGGACGATATCGCACTCCAGAGGAGCTGTACTCAGAATTTCTGACATCTTTGGCATCTGGGTTCATGCTAGACAATCAAAACGTGAAGTTACCCGTAAAGGAACGACTGAGTTCAAAGGTGGTGAAACCATCGGCGAAGAGGTCCAACTTTTGGTATAATCAAAACCGGTCTGAAGGTCAGCCCAAGAGAAAATGTTTCAATTGTGCTGATGTTGGACACATGGCGAACAAATGTCCTAAGCCGAGGAAACAGTGCACACGCTGTAGACGTCTAGGACACGTTGCAACCGACTGCAAAAGTTCAGCGGTATTGAGTACCGAGAACTCCGACGTGGTAAATGGTGGCAAACGTTGCTACTATGCCGGTTGTGAAGTAAATGGCAGCAAAGTGCTTGGCTATATAGACTCGGGTTGCACAGCGGTGATAATGCGACTGTCTACAGTGAATCAATTGAAGTTGAAGATAATTCCATGTGACGACATTATCACTGGGTACAACAACAGTTCGACCAAAGTGGTCGGTAAGGTGAAATGTCATCTTAAAGTTGACCTAGCAGAAAGTGATGTAGAGGTATTAGTCGTTGAAGATAAAGTCCAAAATGTTCCTGTATTGGTTGGACAAAGTTTTATTTCTGATAAGACGATGGTCGCCCGGAACGACAATGTAAGGTTGATCCAGAACGACAAAGTTGATGTTGGGGTTGTGGATAAGCTTCCACCCAGGAAGACAACTCTTTTGGCGAGAAAGGATGTTGAAATTCCTCCGAATTCTGTGGGATTCATTGAGGTCTCTTGCAGTGGATACGATGGTGAGATTTTCATAGAGGGGCAGTTAAGAAGGGTTCCTGAGAGGGAGCATTTTGTGGTCCAATGTGTGACATCCTCCCCAGTAGGTGTCGTGTCCATTGTAAATATGTCATCAGAGTCAGTGACCTACAAGTGTAATAACGTAGTTGCACGAGGTGTGCGTTGTCAGGCCGAGGTCCAAAGTACAGAAAACGTTTCTGTTTTGGTGGCCAGAGTAAAGAGAGCTTTTGTTTTGTCCGACGTGGACACTCAAGTAGATACCAGCATAAACCCAGCACAGAAACAAAGGCTCTTGGATCTCATTAACGAATATCGTGATTGTTTTGCAACTAACACGACGGAATTGGGTAAATGTACAGTAGCGGAAATGTCAATTAAGTTGAACGATGAGAAACCGGTAACGTACCGTCCTTATCGACTTTCATTGAACGAGCGTAACGAAGTTCGCAAGATTGTGGATGACCTCAAGGAAAATAACATCATCAGAGACTCTGACTCTCCATATTCTAGTCCTATTTTATTAGTCAAGAAGAAAACAGGTGAAATGCGTATGTGCGTGGATTACAGGGCTCTTAATGCCAAGACAGTGAGAGATTGTTATCCTCTACCACGCATAGTCGAACATTTGGATAGGTTGTTTGATTGTCGATATTTCACGAATCTAGACCTTGCCTCGGGATATCACCAAATACCGATTGAAGAAACATCCATTCCTAAAACAGCTTTCATTACTCCCGATGGACATTATGAATATCTTCGTATGCCATTCGGACTAGTAAACGCACCAGCTACATTCCAACGTACGGTCAATCGTGTCCTGGGTCCTCTGAGGTTTACTCAAGCTCTAGCCTATATGGACGACATTCTGTTGCCATCGTGTGACTTTGAAACAGGCTTTTGTGCTCTGAAGAACGTCTTGAGCCTGTTTCGTGAAGCTGGACTAACGCTACGCCTCAGCAAATGTTTCTTTTTCAAAACCAAAGTGGAATATTTGGGGCACGAAATAAGTGGAGAGGGCATCAAGCCAGGAGAACGGAAAATTGAAGCCGTAAGCAAGTTCCCTACTCCAGGTAACGTGCACCACGTTAGACAGTTCAT